ATATCAGCTGATCTCAAAGCAGTTTATGGATAAAGATGAGTGTTATGGTCAGCTCTTTATGCACTGGGACAGTGTGGCACAGGGAGAACTGATCGGCTCACAGTTATACTAAAGACCAGTAGCTCTGAATTCCCACTGTTACGTTCACTAGGTTTGGTTCTCGTTTGCTCAGAAATTCACCTACTGGATGAACATTGGTGTCAGTGTTTCTGACCTTCTTTAAACAGTGTCCTGATGAAGGGATAGTGGTCTGTGACCCTAAAGCTCTGCATCTTCCCCAGAGGTAGTACTCCTACTCTGCCCTACAATTAGGAATCTGTTAGAGCAGCTATGCAATGACATTGCTGGAAAAAAAGCCTTTCCATCCCTCCACTTACTGTCTCTGAGCATCTCCCAAACAATAGGGATACTAACTTTTTTTTTTTTTTTGGTCAGCTTAGTCCCAGACCCGTGAACATCAAACAACTCAAACCTTTCCAGAGGGAAAAAAAAAAAATAACAACAGCAAAATAACACAGGGGTGGATGGACATGTCAATTCAGACTTTAAACTGGAGGCACCTAGGAGAGATACTAGATCTCAAGTCGGGGCAAAGAGGGAGGGTGAAGAATACCTGAATAACAGGGTTGATAGCTGACGCAGCAAGACCCAGCCCAGCCAACCTATTAATATTTAGTGGCTGCACTGTAAGACATAGAACTCAGTTTAACATTTCTTGAGATACTGCAGAGAGGCCTGCTCAGGTTCATAGGAATGGGACAGAGGCATCAACCAGAAGATGTCTGTGATCCTGGAGACAGTCACTTTCTAGAGCTGACTGCATAAAAGCAAGATGGGCTGATCATCTCAAGAGGCTCAAAAGCTAATCTGTCCTGCCCACTTTTGTCAAGGCCATTTAATCTAGGCCTTGTTGGATACGTGTAGTCCTGCTACTGAAGCCCAACACATGTTGGAAGGCACTTAAAGACTTAACCTGCTTTGCCTCAATAAACCAAAGTGGTGATGATTCAGCTGGATCTCCTCTAGAATCTTGTATAACATGCTAATCCTGTTGGCTGAGCTGCATCGTACTTTATCTACCTTAGCAGAAAAAGATATTTATTCTGTGCCATCCATTTGCTTCTACAACCAACATCACCAGTCCCAAATACCATTCTAATTTGCTTCTGTCAGTAACCAGAAAAATAATTTTGAGCCTAAATTACTATTAAAGAAAATATGTTTTTCTGTCTTGGTTGTGATCAGCACCTTCTGTGTGGTAAATACACCTCTATATAGCTTTTCTTTTGTGTATTGTCTTAGCTTGTGGAGAACTTTCTCGACTAACTTTGTACCTCTTTTACTTGGCTATCTTTTCCTCCTTTATCTAAAAACAATTGTTACTTTAGTGTTGCCAAAGATATCTCTCCAATTGCCTTGAATGGATGTGGGGTGCCACCGAGGTCATAGCAAAATACACATGCTTTTACTATGATAAAAAAGGCTCATACTTGCAAAATCCACAGCATACCCCTGCAGAGAAGGTGGAACTTCCAGGGATAACTGTCACTGGAATGGTGCTTTATTTTAGGGAGTCAGCTTGGTTTTACAGAGCAATTTCAAAAGGTTTTCTTTGCGTTTCCAATAAGATCAGCAGTCAGTGCAAAGACATGGAAAAGGAAACACAAGGCAGCCTAGAAAATATCAGTATCCACATCAATAAGTGGGAACTAACAAATTTATACCAGTATTTCCTATTAGAAATGCTTGGGTGTAACACTGTTTTGCTGTTAGCCAAAATTATGAGTCCTGTCTCTTTATTTTATTTTCAAGAGCACTATTCAGGGAAATGAGAGAAGTAACAGCTAGACTATGTGTGATTCTTTGCAAGCATATATGTATGCTAGCTAAATGAGAAAGAGAGATGTGGAAGTTCTTTTCTAAGCGGAATTATTCTTCTGTTGCCTATGAAAATAGGCTTTTCAGATTCTGATAATACTGTAAATAATATGCAGATGTGGGAAACACAGACAACAGAAGACAAAAGCTAATTCCATCTCCTGATGCAAAGTGGACCAAGGTAGAATTTCATTACCAAACTCTTCCAAAATTACTTCAAGGGGTAGAGTACTGGTTGGCTATCTAGTAGGTGGAAATGAACTAATTCCAAATCTGACATCAGATGGAGATTTAACTCAAAAGGTTCAGAATATAAATGCTTTACAAGTGACAAAACTCCCAAGGCTCAAGAACTTTGCTGCACAGCCCTGATATTCTACAGTTGAGACTGCTGTGGAAAGGTATGAAGACTAAATACGTTGGTCTTTCTATGGCTGAAGGATATTGCTCTAATTCCTTACTAATGATTATATGTGGAAATAGTTTTTTTTATATAATTTAATACGCAAATTTGCTAAAATATACTTGGTACTGAATAAGTAAAGGTGGATTTCAAAGAAACAAAGCTCTGTACCAGATTAAGAATCTCTCAAATTTGCTTTTAAATACTGAATTGTTTTAAATCAATATAGTGTTAATGATTCAATTAGTTTCTGAAAACACTAAAGGCAGCCTCATGGGGGAAATCAGATAGGGTTTTTACAGCAGAATTAATATGGCAAATCCTCACATCCTGCAGTGCTTTTTTTATGTGCCTGCAAATGTAGAAAATATATAAAACGTAAACTCTGGAGTGTATAACAGAATTGCAGTCACTTGCTCCAGGATCTCATAAGGTCTGGAATTACTACAGCACAGTGAAACTAATTCCTAATTCATTCTAATTCAGGAAAGCTTTCTGGCCAAACCCAGACTTACATCTCATGAAAAATCAACAGGAGTAAAGCACGTGTGAAAATATAAGCATACTTCTTTGCTGAATCAAGGCTGTTCCTCTATTTAAATGATACCTGTGCATTATTTCTCTTGGTAATCAAATCTATGTTAGGCATCTACAAAGCCAAAAATACCTAGTGTTGAATGTACAGTACATCCACATGCATTTCTGTACAAGACCTCATGCAGTAATAGCATTAATGCAGACTTAACAATATGTTACAGCTGAAATGCTCACTGACTTCTACTGCCTAAGCAGTTCTACCTAGAAAACTGCTTTTTAAAACTTTGAGTTGGACCTCATACCCTGTTTTCTTTGTGGCTTTTGCAGGTTCGAATGGCTATTCTTCCCACTGAAGATTTTTTCTTCTTCTTTTAGGCCTTTTCAGGTTCCCTTGGTACTGCCCTGAAGAAATTACTGGGCTCAGCCTCACCCAAGGATGATCCTAGTGCAAAAAAAAACTCCTAAGGAAGTACTTGCAGGATGAGGTTTTAGGTATATCACTAAGTACAGCACAGGAGGAAGGCCTAACTGATTTATTAGCATACTCTACAAGGAAGATCATATTTAAATAACCACTACTGTGGCAGGAAGGAAAGGAATCACCTCTCAACAACAACCTTCACCACCATCCATCCAAAGGTTTATTTGACCTTTGGCATCCTGCTTTGTCTCATACAAACTGAATTTGTGGGTACTGGATGGAAGCATATCTCTGACTCCTTTAACATCATCAGCAACTCTAGCACTTCAGTCTGCTTATGGGCATCACAGAATTAGGTATTCCTGGTGAAAAAGTGGTGAGAGTCTGAGGCTGAATTGCAAGAGAACCTAGATCTAATTTTATGGCTGGTCTCCTTGGTCTCCTTCAGATTTACATCAACAGAACAGAGAAGAGGGTAAAAGCAAGCCAAATATATCTCGCTAGAGCTTTTACTAAGATAAATGTTCTAATTAACAATATTGTTGGCATAACCATGGCCTTTGCTATCCTGATGCTTAAGAAAGCCCTGTTTTCTCAAGACTAGTCTCTACAGTAGCACCTAGTAGATTAAACAGCCAAAAATTAGCATCCACAGCCAAATCTGCACCCGGAACAGTTCAGTACTTTCTGTTAGAGGATCTGAAAGCACTTTACAAATGCTAACCAACATTTGGATTCACAACCCCCAGTGAGGTAGAACAGTGTTATCCACACAGGGATGGGTAGACCTATTGAGGCACAGTGTTACTAGCAGACCTGCTCCCCTTCAGACACTAAATCAGTGCCAAAAGACTGAATGAAGGTTTCCTGACTACACCTATGCTTCGTCCACAGTACTTTCCCCTATACTTCACAGCTTCAACATGAGCCTCTAGCCTTCTGAACTGAAACCAGGTTTCTATGTACAATAGGTGAAATGTTCATTTAGCAGTCACATAGTCAGCAAATTACTCAATTAAATGAAGTTATTTGTGGGCACAAATGATTTCTTTCACAAAACTCTGTGTAAAAGATCATGCACTAAGACTACAGGGTGCAAAACTGGTGCATAATTCTGACCCCTTGGCAATTCCCAATTCTGTCCTCTCTCAGATGCATCTTCTTAAAGTTGCATTATTTGTATCATCACATGAACCTCTAAAGACATAGCCTGCACAGATTGTTTCGTATCAGCAGTGCAAGCAAACAAAACATGGAGTGGCTTTCTGAACAACCCAGCATTCATATAGCATCAAACATCACATTATAATTCATTCTAATCACAAGGGGTTGCAAGAGAATAAGGAATAGGTGTATATGTTGAAACAAAGGCAAATAGAGCAAGAAAGAAATATTTGATTGCACAGATTTCCTTTAGGTAAAGTTCCGTAATAATCAGTTTCATCAAAAGCTTGTTCCATGAGAAAGAGAGGCAATGCCAGCTAGCCTATCACAAAATTGCGGCGTAGTAAAAACCACCAGCCCTGCGTGAGTAGATGAACTTTGCATTCCATAGGAGTCATTACTGATTAATAAAAGCAAAACGTTTCTCTAAATACAATAAGTTTGTTTTTGTCAGATAGAAGAGTTTCTTAAAATATGGGTTTTCAAACACACAAAGTTTCATTTGTTATAGAAGTAGAGAATCTGGCCATAGTTATGAATACAGAAGTGTAAAAAAACAAATACATATCTTAAACATTACAAAAACTATCAAAACATTCAATATTTTGAACTGACTTTTTTTTTCCCCTACAAGTGTCTGTTCTGGCAGTGATGACAAGATTTCTAAACTGATTCGTTGTTATTACTGTTCTGCAGTTGGTGGGGTTTTTTTTGTTCATTTTTCTGAATGTGTTTTTTTAAACAAAACAAAATTACCAGCTTTTATAAAAAAGAAGGAGCTTGAATCTTTACTCCAAAACACAGATACAAGGTTTTCCTTTATAAAAAGTGTATTGATTTTTTGCTATAAAAAGTGACCTGTAGGATGTCAGACCTGAAAACAAATTCTCACAGTGTTTTCAGTGTTGGCTGTTCACAAGGCATTACTTTTAAAAACAGAGATAGAGAGATACCATAGGGTGGTTGTAAAAGTTTGTTACCAGCTAGCAGTGTTCCTGGACCATATGTGAATCTGTTCAACTCTAGACAACTCAACTGACTTACATTATTTTGCTTAATTATTTAACAACTCCCAATATTTGAATATCTGAAAAATCACTATTGCACTAACCTTACTTAGCATCTCATGTTATCATTCCTAATCTTGTCCAAGCTTTTGCTGACATATTAAGCATCGAACTAATAAGTCATTTCCCTTCCTGCCCTGTAACAACAAAAACAGTACTAGTTAGTATGCAAGTGCTAAAATCAGGGCTGCAAATGAGGAACAAGCAAGAGTTGGCAGTTTGGAGGTAAAGAGTTGTCAGAATTTGTCAGCAACAGATTGATTCACACACTTCTGGGGGAGCTTTCCATTGCTGTCATAGGAAAATTACATATTTGCAGAAGAAGAAATAATAGAAGAATATGGGAAGTGCACAGGATCAGTGGCATAACGGCCCAAAATTGCTGGCAATGTCCATTTTGCATCCCTAAAACTCTGCTTAAAAGAATGGTATCCCTCTATCTCTATAGACTGGTAGGTGTTGATTTGTGGTAGAGAGGATAAATCACAGAAAAAAAATGACATATAACTGTGTGTCCTTTGTCTGATTTGAAAGCACCAGTCACCTATCTGCTTAGTTTGGCAGAAGTACTCTACTGTATCTTAAACATAGCTTGCAGTACGGACTATTAACGTCATGTCGCTTTACATGGAATCTCCAAGGGAATCAGAGTCATCCAAAGACAGAGGCAGATACAAGTCCTGTAGGAAGAAAGAAAAAAATGTTAACTCACACAATCAGTTTTCACCTTTGGTCATGCAAAAGGAGACAGTTGGATGGGTCCAGTTCTGTGCACCTCATAGGGATGGGGTGGAACTCTCATGCACTGGTTATTGGATGGTTGCCTGGTTACTTTGAGGCTAAAATAAGGTCCATTGCAGAGTGGAGGAATGTGCACCTTGGTACCAAAAGAAAGATGACTGTTCGGTGACAAGTTTGAGAAGAAATTTTTTATCACTTCTGGACCAGTGCATCCATTGCAGAACATGCATGAAAGAGCAGAAACTTTCCTTAAAGAGATCTTTCTGAACTTAAGTCTAATGAGTATTACCTTCATTTGACAGCTACCCTTAGGACAGATCTCTAGGAAAATCACCTCCCGTGATGTATACTTTATTTTAAGCCATTTTTGATCATTCAGAAAGCTGTTCAGAAGTTAAAAACATAATGCCTAGTTCATTTTTTGGACAAAATACTGAATACAAAGCCTTCCCAGGGCCTCTTTCTGAGTAACCATTTTATTTTGCTACTTTGAAGTCCTGCATGGATCTAGGTATACAAACCGTCTTAAGGACTAAAGCTCTCTTTGGGCTTTTATGAACTCTGACCCCCACATGGAATAACTGAGCAACATGAAGCAAAGCACAAATACACAGAAAGGGAGTTCACAAGCATCTTGACAGAAGAGGAGGGGAAAAAAAAGAGAAGTGATTTCATTTTAAGTGGGAAATTGCTCCTGGGAGGAAAACAACAATGCGTGAATGATCAGGAAACCTAAAATGCTACATTCACATTTTCTGATTGGCTTGAATTAGTGGAGAAGTTTGTAGCTGCCTTTAGCAGTCACCTTCTATTACGAATGTTCTAGGGCCTTCACTGGGAAAGTCATAAGTCAGCTAACTGAAAACATACATAAAACATAGCAGAAGGTGAGATTTACTTGTCTTCACCAGAAAACCAATCCTCAACTCCAAAGCCCTACATAAGATAGTGTTTGGAAGGTATTTTAGGTCCTTGGCTGCTGAAGCAACGAATGCAGTTTATAGCATTAATTTCATCGAAACACACACAAGCAACTGCCGAGAGCAGACTATGGGCCAGATCCTGTTCTCAAATAAAAGTTAAGAATACATTTGGAACCACTGTGCTACACTGGTGCATTTCCTTAGACTTTAAACTGAGCGACTGAGACCAGAGTGAAGTCCTGAGAAAAACACTGATTTCATCTGATTTAGCTATACCTCTGTTAAAGGACATGAAAACAAAGATGAATGACTACAGGATTTTCATATCTTGGAAATATTTTAAAGATCTGATTTTTGAGAAGCCAAATTCCACCCCAGGCTTCCCCAGTACCATTCAGTCCCATCTCCAATGTGGTTCAAAGTCTTACATACCAGAGTTATAATCCAAAGCTCATTGGACTTTCAGGAATACTTCACAGAGACTTTGCTACGCTTTCTTCCACCAACTAACAACAGCAGTCCAGCTACCACTCTTCTCTTTGAGATAAACCATAATCTTCCAGCAAAATCAGTTCCACTTGTGCAGTCAAGTCCACAGGAGATGACATGTGGCTAGCTAGCTGACTGCAAAACCTCACCATCATTAGAATTGTTTAATGAGGCTTCCAGTCTTCTACAATTTCAAGAGAATGCTTTCAATATCATATTTGGGCTGAGGTACATTCTGATTACTAAAGCAGAAATCCCACTGACCTTCACTCATACTTAAATTTACAAGCAAATTCCACTTTTATATCAAGCAAAAACTGTTCAAGGAAGAGAACAGCAACGCTATAGCTATTAGAGAAATGAGAAAGCCCACAGAAATGGTAAAGTGGATTCAGTATAATAATAACAGAACCATGAAAAGCTGTGCTACTTCTATACAGTTCAAATAAATCAATACATGAATAAACTATGAGACACCACAAAATTACTCATCTCTACTAGGATGCCAGGCTATATGTTAGATGCTCTGGATGTCACCAGGAAAAGTTACTGTATCAGAATACAATTACTACACTGGGAATAGAAAAACCACATTTCCTGCAAAACAGAACATTGCCTTAAATCATTTTAAAAATCCCTGAGAAGCTGCATTAAGGTGATGTCTTGGAGCTTCAGTTACATTTGCATTTCTCTGCTGTTTAATGAACTAGACTTGCCAACACCTATGGCTTTTCAAGAGATGAGCACTGAAATGAAGTTATCCATGACTTGTGAGCTTTTCCAAATGATACAAATTTAGGCCTAAGTTATTTTTTCTGATCCACACAGATAATCTTCAGCACACATTAATAACTCCAACAGGAGGAACAGTTCCATGACTGACTGTTCTTATCTTGCTATAGGCCAAAGTGGCAGTTCTTTCAGGTAACAAGAAAAATTCTCCACTGTTTCACTTGAAGATGTGTTTCAAGAAAATAAAGACTTCTTTAAAGTGCCTTGCACATTCAAGCAGACTAAGGAAGAAACAGATGTAGTAAGGTATAAGAAACATAATACCTTGTGCTTACGGAGGCTCCCTGGGCTGGTAGGTGTGGAGATGGGGGACTGCTTGGATTTGGGTGTAGACAGCTGACTGCTCGAGGTCCCATTTGCTGTCAGAAAACAAGACACAAGCTAGCAGTCAGACAAGAAAAAGGAAGATCATTTCTCTTCTTTGGGGAGATGGAAGACATCCAAACAGTCAATATAGAAACACTATAGTTTATTCATGCGAGACAGGAGGGGAAAAAAAAAACAAATGAACAACGTAACTATTCATCCAACTTAAGGCTTTCAGCTGTTCAGAATAGTTGGCTGTAAAAGACAGTGAAATACAAAATACATTGAAGAAGCAATATTTTACATTGCAAATATTTATCAAATTGATCCATGATATACATCAACAAAAAAACAGAAAGACAATTTCTGTGCTTTCAAACAGTTTAACACAATTGAAACCACATGGAAAAAGCATAAGAGGAAGCCAGAGGCTGCAGATATCCTGGATCCTACATAAGAAATGTTAAATGTCAAAGACACATATTAGAAATTCAACAAACAGCTGTCTGGAATGGCCTGGATGGATGTGGCAGAGATTAAATGAGTAGAAGAGCCCTTCTGAAGCACTGGTGTAACTTGGTGGGATCTCTTCACCTTGGTACCACTACTTGACACCAGAGCTGACCCTGCCACTCCTCCGCTGTCTGCACCAGCTTGTGAAGAAATGAGCACGGTCCATCAGGGGAGGAACGGGAAAATTGCATCAAGTGAAAATCCTCTTTCAAAGACCAAAATCTGGCCTTTAGGGGTGCTCTGTTTGTTCACTTTGTTTTGAAGAAAGCATAGCTAACCTCCATGGTTCTATTAAAAAACCAGTCCATTTAAGCTAAACAGCTCTACGAAGGGTTATTCCTTGGGGCCTAGTGGTCAAAGTGAAGAAGTGGAGGTCTGTCTCAGTCAGCTATTATCGACGTGCTGCACTAAAAAGGAACCGAAGTAAAGAGGGTATTTCACAGAAAAGTGAAGACAAACAAGATGTTATCAAGACAAATGATTATTTTGCTACCATCGATGTCCTCTGAAGAAAGCTAATGTCTTTGATAATTTCAAAGTGTCATGCTACATATTTCATAAAGACAGACTTGCTCCTAGAGAACTTCATCTGCTGCACATCAACTCCAGGGATACAGACCCTGCTCTTGTTACCAGGGCTGTAATCAAGTAGCTCCTTCGGCACAAGCAGTATTTCCTGAGGGAGGGAAATTCCAACTCATGCTGTCTGTGTCTAAGTATATCATTTTCTCTGGTCTTTTCTTTTTGCAATCCAATCTGCAGCAAGCCAGAAACCTTATGAGCATTAAACTACACATCTCAGTCAAGTGTACAGAAGTGACATTTGGAAACCTACTCCAGATGTTAACATATTCAGCACAAGCCACAAAACTAAACACCAAATACTCTGTTGTTTCCTTAAATGGCAATGATGCTGCCTACCTTCCAGATAAGTCTACGTGTCCCTACCGCTTTAAAGAAAGTATTTTTAATTGTGTAGATATTTCACACAGAAAGACAAGCCTATAATGGTCTTACTGTGCCGATTGCTAATTTCCCATTACCTCTGTGTATTATTACTCCAGCTGCAATGGCACATGCACAGGAAGATAGATGATTTCCACGTATAGGACTCACACTTTCAATTGTAATCACTGAATGTGTAATTACATACTTGCAATTAAACAAGCATTGGAGTGTAAGAAATGTATAAATATCATGCAGTAACAATGCTGTGTGCAAGTGTCGTATTTTAAAGAGTGAGATCAGAAAGAACTGATAGAAGTGTAACATCAGAAAGCGGGGCAGCAATAGGAACCTGCACCCACCTTGCAGCCTCTCATCATGTCCACTGTCACAGAAAGTGGACACAAGAATCAGGACATCTCTGAAGTGTTGGCTGGGAAGCCATCCTGAGTGGAGAAAGGTGAGCTAAGTCTCAGTGTGCAGCCCTGGCCTTAGTGATTCTATTGCATTTAATTCTTAAAAACAAAAGCAAATGCCCAACCTCCAGATCTACAGACATGCACAGCAGCCAGTGAGGCTAAAACATGTCTGGCCTTTATATCAGGACTTTTTTCAGAGTCTGGTCCCAACCAAGCAGACATATGTTTAACCTCAAGTGCGTTACTTTGGGGAACTGCTATATGGACACCGTTAAGCATAAGCTCTATTAATCACCTCCAGCACCCAATGACAGAACCTGGCTTGGCCTTGGGTTCAGACTCAGCTGGAGGTGCTCAACATGCTTACTCTTCCTATAAGAAAAGCTCCATCTTTTGTAGAACATTCAGTATGTAAAAAAATAAATAAATCACTGGAGCCAGGGCCAAATGGGTGTTTCATATACATCATGTGTTATGTTCCTTCTTCCTTCTCCACCCATGGGCAATTACACATTGGAATTGAGATATCTTTTGGCCACTACAGCTATAGACTTCCTGCTAAAACTTCTGGCTTCATTAAATCAAGTTTTTTCTCATTGTGAAAATATTCCTGAGAGACTAAAATCTATAACTTATAATTTTTTTAAACTCATTTGTGGTTGGCTCTTATGTCCTTGGTATCTACCTCATTATTCCCTGCTTTAATGCTCTGCTATCTTCCTGTGAGAAGGAGGGAAGCAGTGAAGGTTGTTAGTATACTGGTGCAAAAGCAGAAATCACACATCTGATTTTAAATAAGTGTAAAGAAATGTGCTGTCAGTCAAGGGACAAAGGAAGAGCTACAGGCATGTTAAAGCAGCTCAGATTTAACTGAAGCTTTGTGAAGTGAGACCTCTGTCTTCATATCCATTGCTTCTGTGTTTTAGGCACTAACGGGGAGAAACAGTTTTTTCTCCATTGCAAATGCACTTCATCAAGAAAACAGATATTCCTTAAAAGATGTTAGAAATAATGACTTATAGATAATTGGTTTATAGTTTGACCGTTCACCTACGTGTTCTACCCAGGCCATCCTCGTTCGGACGGAAGAAAAATTAGTTATAGAACCCCAGAAACTGTGACACGTTGTACCCTGAGCTGCCACATGGCACTTTTCACTTTGCTCTAGTTCTCTAAAGTGAATTGTCCTTGAGCTTGGAGGGGAAAAAAGTGGAGTTCACTATTTGCCATATAATGAAGGCAATTCAGAAAAAGAGCAAGTACTGTAGGTTTTCTACTGAATATAATGTGGGCTATAGTAGTACTAATATGATCTGTATTAGCTGGAATCCATCTCTACTTTCTAAAATCCCTTTCTTTATCACTCAACCCGAGGCAGGAAATAATCCTGTCTACGATGAAAAATGCCACAATTCTACAAAGAACCCGAATTTCCCCATCCACAAACAGGAAGACTGGGATAACAGCTAACAGTCACTGTGCAGCAAAAGGATGTAATTGCTGCAGGGAAGGACAGAAATTCTCTAATACAATGAGACTTTCAAGTGCTACAGCAGGAATATTAATATTTTATAAGCACGAATGAAAAAGCAGATGTGACATCCAAATCAGAAATCCAAAACAACAGATGCACAAGGGCTGCTCTGAAAGTAGTGCCTCCTAATTTACTACACTGGCCCATGACATCAGAGGTGGATGTTGGTGGTATGGCAGTAAAGGTTGAACCTTCCCACCAATATCCTGTTACATTTTGTTGCTGTGTGTGTGCCGCTGAATTCCTCTGTGTAGAAAAAATGGCACCCACTGACATTCATTGCTGAGTGAATTTATGGAGACACTCACTGAACATTTATAGAGACCAAGCAATGGATGTGAGCACAGTGAGGTGGTGGGTGGTGCATTTCAGCAGTAGTGACAGTGACAGCAGGGCACCTCTGCTGGAGCAGATTTTTAGATGTGCAGCCTGCAGGTGCTGGTTCACAGCTGGTGAAAATGCACAGCTAATAGTGGTGACTATGCTGAAAAAGAGTGTTTTGCAGCTAAGAATTTGCTTTATCAAATAGTGTTATTGTACTCTTTCTATCTGTTGTAGTTTCTATGGAAATAAATAGGCATTACTTTCAGAGTGACCTGTTCATATCTTTACAGATATTCACATGGAATTTTACAGCAGAAGGAGCAACAATTAAGAAGCTTGGTTTAATTTTCTTTGGATCTGCTAATGAAGAACAGTGCTCATAATCAAACTTGCATACACTTCTTTTGAACTCAAATGCAAGGAAATAAGATGAAAAGAGCAGATCCCAAGCGTTCCTCCACTGAACTCTGATGATGACTCACGGTAGCTAAGGATCTCACATAAGCTTGGCTGTTGGAAACCATTCTTTACAACTGGCTTTGACTTTTTTTCCTGTCACTATTGTTTGGATATTTTATCTTACTTATTTCATAGTATTTGCTTTGGAACCTCAATTTGCTTTAAAGCTCCTTTGAGCACATGACACTTCCTTTGATTGCAAAACTTGTGTTGTTTTTTTTTTTCCTGAATTTACAGCAACGGTAAAGTACCATGACCTCTAAATGAGCTTAGTGATGTTTCCATCAAAGAACAGAACTGGAGGTAGCAAGGACCAAAGATTACAATAAGGGTTAAAATCTGTGAAGATTTCGCCTCTTCTCCCAGCTTAGAAAACATGGCTAATGCTCCTTGCTCCACTGGGGTTCTCAGGGATGAATTGGGATTCATTCATCTGGGGATGAATTTCTGGTTTGGGGATCACATGCTCTTGTATCACAAGAGAAGAAGAACATGAAACACAGGGATAATTTTGTCCCAGTCATGTTTTGAAGAGTTGCCAAGGAAATAAGAGACAGAACAACCAGAACAAGGAGAGCACAAAACCAACGTAGAAATAACAGCGCTTTAGTGAGCACAAGCCATCCTGCCCTGCAGGGCAGAAGTATCTGGGAAACTTTGCAAGGACTCCATTGCAGCATTTATTTAGGAGTAGAAGAGTTTAGATTGCACAGGCATCCTTCTCTCAGTCACATTTGGTGAGGGTGATCTGTCCACTGGATGCGTACTGCAGATTGTCAGCTAGCAGAAAGTAAGTAAGCACAAGTGGGATTACAAGCTGCTCTATCTCATGTGTGATCCAAAAGACATCTGCTGCCTTTTTGACATATTCATAGATAATGACCCTGGGGAGCCAGATCTGCTCTCAGGACAGACTGACGTTCTGTATCTGTTTTGCTAATTGCTGCTGCATTGTGAATATGCTTCTCTCCCTCTGTCCAAACTCTCCCATTAGAGAAGTAAGAAATGAAAGTCCTTTAGCAGTGCCTCAGATCTCATAGGGACACTGAGGAAAATCAAGGCAAAAATGAGGAAAAGACATCTTCAAATTTCAGCTCAGGGACCTGCGGCTCTGCACTGCATGGAACTGAGATTCTGCTGGATTTAAAGCTCTCCTACCACAGAACATATACTTGTACAATGGAACTCTTTCTTGTTACGTGAGCTACTGTAAGATATTTGGGTTTTTAGAACAAAGAAGTAAGGGCAAATAGCATGATCATTTTTTACCACTGTATTCCTCACCCAACATTTAGCTTTGTCTTTTGTTTGATTTGACTTCTTATTGGAGTGGCCTGTTACTAAGAAATCCTTAGTACTGATCTTCCCAAATTCCATTTAAATTACATGGACCATATACAGTACCTTCATCCACCTTCCCACACAGTACTAGGGAGCTGCCTCATATCCACTATACCTTAGAATTAGGGTCTTCTCAATTACACCAGCACATAACATCTGTGAGCTGCAGGACAAAGCAGCATGAACACAGAGCTGTATCTTCTCGTAACAGTCATTCCATCTTCATTCATTTATTTAAATGACCATATAGTAAATAAAGTACTATACCAAGAAAACAGTGTTTAAGATGTTTCTGTGGATTGGCTGTCTCATTTTTTGAGTACCACTGGAGCTGAAGGCCTCCGGCTGCCTAGAGGGAATTGAGCTTTTCACAGCAAGGCACTGACACGTCTAGGCAGAAGGCAAATCGCCTCCAGCAGAAGGCAGCAACTCAGCCAGTGAACTTGCATCACTGCAGCTGGAGCTGGTACTCTGTGTAGCTCCACTTCTGTTCATAGCTTTTTGTCTTGATTATTTTTAACCAATGTTTTGCTTGTGTTTTGAGGAGAGCAGAGGAGAGGAGAGGAGAGGAGAGGAGAGGAGAGGAGAGGAGAGGAGACACAGTTATCACCATTAATTACACACTTTACCAGCCATTAACAAGAGCCTGCATGCTGCACTTGCAAAACTCTGCACTAGCACCCACAGCTCAGTGCTTCACCACCCATCAGCTCACTGTGCTCACACCCACTGTTTGGTCTCCAGAAACATTCAGCAAGCATCAAGGAATGGCAGTAGGTGCCATTTTTTTCACACAGTGGAATTCAGTTCCACCCCTTTGCTTCATCTGCACTTCAGCATCTCACACCATGCTGTCAGACTGCCCCATGGCTGCCATGAGTCACACGACAACAACGTCTAATGGGGTATTGGTGGGAAGGTTCAACCTTTACTGCCGTACCACCACCATCCATCACTGTGGGCCAACATTATAAAATAGGAGGCATTACTTTCAGAGCAGCCTTTGTAGAATGAGAAAATAAATAACACCTTTTTCTGCCACTATAATGTAATTTGTAATAAGGAAGGTTCAGCCTTCTTCCACTCAAGCAACTTAGAGATTCACCTCAGAATCTGTATTTACATTATTACCAATAGATTTCTCAAAGAATGAAAAATACTAAGAGATAACAACTGAAAATAACAAAATCTAATTATTAGAAACTAAGAAACTCCGAGGTCTGGCATGACAATCACAACAGAGTAAAAGACAGCAAAGACAAAAGTACAAATGCATGGGAGATCAAACACATGGGAAATATACTGAACATACTTGAAATAAAACTGCTTCAAAATCCTTTTACAGAAGAAATAGGTGAGAATTTTGAAGGAAAAAATAAGCATCAGATAATCTTTTATTAATCAAGCTTCATTCAGTATTCCCTGCCTTTTTCAATGTGATAACTTTAAAACTTAGCTAAGCCTGGTGTTTGTTTACATAAATATTGTCTCTCAGGTAACATGCACACCTGCTTTCTTTATTGCAAATTCAAGAGGAAACAACATAAGATGGTAGTATTCTTTTTTTGTCTCTGTCCCAAGAAAACAATTATCTTTTATTAACCTTCCAGCACAGAAAGAGTTCAGTCATTTCCTATTCTCTTTAAAAAAGACAGGCTGCCATTTTTCCTGTACTGAAATCACAGAAAAGTACGAAAGACCTTTGTCTAGATGAATTAAAGAAACCTGATTTGTCCTTCATTACAGGCCTTAATTCCAGGAGCTGGCTATTGTTTGACATTTCTGGTTATTTTAATCAATCTCCCTTTGAAAGGCTCAAACTAACTGTTCATTAGGCTTCATCAGATGACTCACCATTTTGTTCTGTGAGTCAAAATCAGGAACACAATAGTTGTCATTTCACATAAGGCTATACACTCATGTAATAAAGTCTTGTTCTGGTAGCAATTAGTACCTGATGCTTATGGAGTTTAAATGCTGTCTCAACTCATGCATGGCCTGACTCCCAGATTGCTGAATAGGAGATTATTTTTTTTAATTCTACAACAGATTTTCAGTTACATCTTAAATGCACCCAACACGACTCTACCATGCAACTTCTTCTCCATAAACTTCTTAGATCACAGTAAACTCAAGTTTAAGCAAATACTGGAATGTTGATGGAAAACTGTATGAGTGCAGAATCACCTTACAGAGAAGGAATTATTTAAAGCAGTCTTGGCACATGCCAGCAAATTTCACATTTTTTTCACATCATCTTTTTAAGTAGCTAAAGAACATCAAGAAACCCTAAACAAATCAACTGCTTACTGGGGAAAATCTTACTGAATACCATTAGGAGAATTTTACATCCAGTAATCCAATGTCTACTGAAGGGTCAGCTGTTTTGTGGTGTCCACGTGCAATATGCAGTGGGTGTCCATGAAGGTGAAAACAATTTCTGCTTTATTTTTAGCCTGTGATAATACTGTGGGTCACTTGCATTTTTAATTCAATTTATAAAGCTGTGTAGAATCTTGAAATGCGTATATAGGTGGTGATTTGGCCTTTTTAATGAACACCCATACCTGGCTCTCTTTTGGAAAGGACAGTGGAACAGATGACACACCTAGAGTCCCATTCTCTTCATTGTACAGTCTAAAAACTACCAATTACCAGCCAGGTTTCTAATCTACAGGCTCTGCAGCTCTCCATGTGTGCTATATTGCCAATCCAGTTGATACTGAAGAGGCAGGGCAGCATTTCAAATGGTGAAAGCTGCTGCAGTGAATGAGGATTACCATTTTCTTTCTCTTCTATTACTGAGTGAATGTCTCTATCACATCAATAAGCCCATCACCAGATCCTCAACTGCAAGGTCACTTGTCTTCTTTAAATGGTGATTAAGAGAGGATATTTCTGACTTGTGCAGTAATTAACATTTGCATTACACAAGAGGCTATTCCAAAACAGTCTGTAGCTACAGGGAACATACAATAGCACTGCAAATCTCAATTTCCTGTCTGTAAAATGGAAATGTTTCCTTTTAAATTTTTTTTAGGGCAAGAGGCTGTGAGACTGTGGGTGGTATGATCCCAAAGCCTGACTGCACTTAACTAACCAGAGATTTCCTCTCCGATATTTATTTAGTGATCCTGTATGCTAACAATATCATCTTGTGTTTAAAATATGCCAGAGTCTCAAATGCAAACATCCAAGGACAGTGTTCTCAAAGTCACACGCTACGTGTTTTCATCTCGAGCAGAGTTAAGATCCAGAAAACAATCACTCACCGTCTTGATGGTTACCTGAATCAGCTGGAGACTTGCTGCGGCGCATTGGGGCTGGACTCTTTGCTGAGCTCTTCTGAGGGGTGGGAGATGACTTACTGCCCGTGGCAGCTGCAGGGCTCCCTTTCATCACCCGGCACTCTAAGGAAAGAGACAGTAACCATGGTTATGTCCCTGCCTACTCTCACAACCTATGGGCGCTAGCTGTGAAACTCATGGGTGGCTTAGTGGCTTTCTATTTCCAAAAAGCTGTAAGAAAACTTCAACACTAAGAGGAAAACTGGCATTTCCAAGGTAAAAATGAGACATTTTAGGGACAGGTTAAAAAAAAGAGCCTCTAGAGGAGGCACTGAGACTGTACATTAAAATCAGGATTCTCTCCCTGGCAGGGAACATTTTTGTATATGTGCCCTACCAAGGGTATTCTGCCTTTTCCCTTGCCTTGATGCCCACGAACTAGAGACCAAAATGAAAATAGTCAGCATTTAGTGAGGAAAGAACAGGTCAAAAACCAGTTAATCTGCAAAACTCTCCCATGAAGACCTAGCAGAAGGAGCGATGAGTACTGTTTATGCAGGCACATAAAGCCAGCAAACAGCTGGTAGCATGACTTTAAGGTAAGTGGTGCATGGGACCTGTGACCTAGGAGGCCTTCAGCCCTTTCATTCTCTTTCTGTGTTTTCATCAAGCTGCCCTTTACAGATGTGGAAAGCAAAGACAACAAAATGGTTTTACAAAATACACCCTTTGTGCTGGTTGGTCATCTTTTTCAGAAAGGTTTACATAAACAAATGCAATAGATTCATGTGTTTAAATGCATGAGCAGATGAGAGCCCCAACTGTGTTTTGTAAAAAAAAAAAACGAGCCAGGAGGAGGGGAAAATGTAAACATGATCTACAGTGCTGTGCAGAAGGGAACTGAAACGCTAACAAATCTGTATGTGTTCCAGGATTTCAGGCATCTCAGGTCTTCACAACAAGGTTTATTGACATTCAGAACTGATAGAAAAAGTAGTTTGTCTTCCCAAAGTTAACTTATCTCAGTTAAGAATTGGCAATAAAAAAGGAATTCCCTCTCTGTCAAATTCTAACTGGTCTTATCTCCTATAAGCAATTGTCCTCACACGAAAAACAAGTATTTTTTAACGATGTAAATTAGATGTTCCACTTACAGGAAGATTTTTATAGAAAAGCTCAGCTCAGCATGCATGGGCTGCACTGAGAATCCCCTTGACCTGGCTTTTTTAATGGGAATTAACTGAAGCAGAATATAGTGGATGGATACATAATTGGTCAATTGAAAACAAGTAGGCTGACCAAAATGTATGTGTTATTTTATTTATATATCAGAATATATATGAAAATGTAATTGCCCTAAACCTTTTCCCCAGGCTTTCCTCATTCTCAGACAGTCAAGAGTCAGTCTCTTCTTCTTCCAGATGGGATGATTCCCTGTGCTCCAGGGATGATGCATGATAATAATTAAACCCATATTAAGTTTATTCTCTCTCCTAATAAATAGATTCTGGAAACTGTAAATTAGAGATATAAATTGTTTTGTTTTGTTTTCCTAAGGTACTTGACTTCTCACAGATGATGCCAGGTAGAAGAGAAGGAAAAGGCCTTGTAGGGCTTCAGAACAGAAACTTCCCCATTTTTTTATGTCCTTGGTTCTAAATAATAATGTTTGATGAGGCAGTCTGAGATAGAATCATAGAATCATAGAATTCCATGATAGCCACTTGGAAGAATGTGCAAATAACTGCTTCTGGTGTTAATCAGCCTAACCAAAACATGGGGGACAATCATCTTCAGGCACTACAAAAGTAATGTTTTTCAAGGCTTTTACGTGTAGCTGCTTGACAAAAGAGTGTAACACTTGGATCAGCAATGTCTGTGCACCAGATATGGGTTTCTCAGAAACCAAGGGAATTTAAAAGTGTGTTTTACAAGAGTGACATCAGTATTTAGTCATCCAAATTGCTCCCTAAAATATAAACCTAAAAAAGTTAAAATATTTTGTTGCCTTTTTAAAAAAGCTTATTCAAATTCATTTTCTCCCCAAAGGATAATTCCTTGCAGAGAAGCTTAGCTTTGCATTTACCAGCACAGAAATGCTGACTCTGATGAATTTCTCCAGCTCAGCCATCAGCAAGTGTCAGCACACCAAAGGCAATTACTGAGCATTTGTATGCCTTGCAACAAGGTAATAAATGTGGACATCTGATTGTGCTGACATCAGTATCAGCAGGCCTCTTAGCAGTGTGGGGTGTGACATTTCAGTGTGCTGATGCTGAAGCCAGCCAGTATGAATGAGACAGAGCAGCAACATCTGGAAGGTGCTTAGCAACAGGGATTATAGGGCAGAAGCTGTGGTGGGCAGTCAGAAAGAAAAAGATGACATAATCCTCTCATGGTATTTCTCTTTTTGTTTCCTGATGTCCTGCCAGAGCGAACATAATAGCCAGCAATTCAAGTATGTGTCATCCCAACAGGAAAGAGAAAGTATCCATGACAGAAGAGATTTTAATAAGTGACATTCATCCACAAGACTTCAGGTTCTCTTTGCAGCATCTGATCCATAACGAGGAAGGATGATGGGTGGATAATGGGAAAATGCTGCTGGCTAATAGCTCCCCATCTGTTTCTTGGGAAGGGCAGGGTATCCCCACTCTCCTGAAAATACAACAGAGAACTGCAGATGCTCAGTACCTGCCCAACAGCAAGCTTGCCTTATTTTTGTTAGAGAAACCCAAGCTGGAAAAAGTAGTAGAAACCAGGAGTGTAGGCAGAGAGCTGAGCTTCCCATGAAGTTGTTCTGCTAGGATTACGTGCAATTTGTTTTATATGTGGAAATCCCTGCGGAGCTGACTCAACTCCTGACTGTTAAAATAAAATATGAAGCTCACATTACAGATTGCTTCACCAGCCTGATGCAGGCTTTATCCTCTGTCTGCAAAGTTTCAGCTGACTCCTGGAAACTTTGAAATACCCAAGACCACCAAATGGGTTCATCTGGAGTACACAGGTCTGAAGTACCAGCATCAAATAAATCCAGCCTTGCTAAGGAGTCATAAAAATGCAGTGTTTGAATTTTAGAGGCTGCTTTGCCTCTTGGTAGACAGCAAAAATTCTCTTAAGTCTTCAACACTGAGCCAGTCTGTAGCATACAAGATAGCATGCAGTTTCTGTTCCTTACACAGTATACCTAAAAACTTTTGTAATTAATGTTTGGAAGCCATATTTTCTTCCAGTTTAAATGGTCACAACTGCATTCATGTACTCTTGCTGCACTTGCTGGCACCAGCAAACATCCTGTGCTGTTGGTATATACAGTTGCCAGGTAGGGTAACTCCTACAAGCAAGCTCTGCATATTCTGTGAAATCAGAGATTCTGTGGTTTAATTGATCAAAGAGACTCACATTGTTACAGATCTCTGGTTGCTATTATAACATGGACAAATGATGGTGCTCTCCAAATCCCACCTAACAAACATTGTCCTCCTTTTTTAATCAACAGAAGAAAGTAATAAAGGGAATGATTTTTCTTTTTAACTGTGCTCATTCCCATTTTTAATATTGACATGTGTACATAAGGACAAGAGTGACAAACTGTGTGTATTTGTGTTCTAAGTAGAAAAATAGAGATTAGTGTTCTACTGCTTAGTTCTCAAAAATGTTTCAATCTGACTGGAACTTGAACAAGTTTAAAGGATATATAGTACCAGATTTTCTCATTAATGTAAAAATGATGGTAGAGTGGAGGAGTCCATCTGTTTTGAAATGGGCTATCCCAGCCAGTGTTTGCCCAATTACAATATCCACTGACTGTACTTTGTGTCACCAAAGGATGATGAATTCCATGCACTGGGTCATACAGAAAAGAACAAAAGCATGCAGCACTTTTACCTATTACAAGCAAATGAATGGAAGTCAAGTAAGAACAGACTGAAGAACAGTGTGTGTTCAACATTACCACTTTCATCCAGAGAAAAGTCATCCTGTGCATAGCGGAATTTTTCGGGACCACAGGCAATAAACACATCATCATCCCCAAAGAAATCATGGAGACAGGTCACCTATAGAGAGAGCAAAGTCATTCATTTTATTTTTAATTAGCAATGTTCTGACATGGCTCAGTTTAAATTTAAACAGGAAGGCACTGCCTCTCTGCTGCTCCCCAATTCCATACCTACATGGTCCTGTTTCCTGCAAATCAAGTGGAACAGTGTAATTTAAAAAAAAAAAAATGCAGCTACCCTGCAAAATCCAATGAAGTATGGAATTTCCAATCCCTTCAGGAGCTGACAGGCTATGTTAGCCATCCTAATGAATGACACAGGCATTCCTGAGCTAATTCTAAAATAATAAGCAGGGTGCCCCCACGCTGGGTTGGTAAACATGGCTGTCACCACCACCCATGCTGACAAGTATTTCAGTACCAACAGAGCCTAGAAACTCAAGGACTGCTAAGAAGAGTGGCTGGGCACAGCATGTTCCTACAGAAAGTGTTTCCAAAACCATTAGCAGGTAATCCTGGTCTAGTGGTTGGCGACCCTGCCCATGGAAGGGTGGTTGAAACTAGATGGTGTTTGAGGTTCTTTTCAACCCAGGCCATTCTATGATTCTATGAATCCCTTTGGACCTGCAGAACAGGACAGAAAACCTTAATCCCACCTGCCTTCCCTCCTTTCCCATGTCCCCCCAGCACTTGTGCAGCAAGTTGGCCTGAAAAACTGGGAACGTTACTGTGGGATGTTTGTATCAGCAAGGACAGCACTGCTGGTGGCCATTCAACATTCATTCTTCTAGGTGCTACACTGTGAATAATGACATATTCTGATATTTACATAGGTACAGTCATGGCAATTTGCAGTTACCAGTGAAATAATGAATGCAATTACACAACAGCAGCAGGATAACTGTGCCACGGGTAATTCTGCTGGAACCAGTGGTAATTACACATTAACTCATGATAATGATTTTGTGCTATCTCCAGTACCTAAAGTTAATTCAAGTCTTCTCAGTGCAAGGACATGTGGAGAATGTGCACATCATTGCTCTTCAGGGAGAACCTTAAACACCCAGATTTGTCATCAGTATATTGCAGAAAATTAATCAGACTCCTGGCAAGCTGGCAGGTGCTCTTTTGAGGCAAAGGAAGATGATGTTTTTTCATCTTCACAGAATGCTCTGAAAACTTCCATGAAGTGCAAAGTAACACTTATTTTTAAGAGGGGAAAAAACACTTTGGAAAGTCCAACATCAAACCTTTTGTGTTCAAAACGCAAGTGTTCAGTACAGAAACAGGCTCAGAGGACACCAAAGTGCCTGTACACAACTGACTGCTGAGAGTTTATCCTAAGGTCCTGGCATCCCAGCCACCTACTGATTAAGTACTGTGTCAGGAGGAGAAAAACATGCTAGCACACGAGCATGAGACATCTCCAGCACCAGCCCAATGACAGCACAGCTGTGACCTAGGTGAGCCCAGCAGCACAGGGCTGCACCTGAAAGACATCAGTAAACAAAACAAAAAAATGCAGCTTTTTCACCAGACCACTGCAAGTGACTGCAGTACTGGCACCAACATTTGTAACAGAGGTCTCAGATTGTTGAGGTCCAGTGTTTTGCCATGCCTGGCCACTGGGGTCTTCACAGAGGTCAAACGCATCGCAAGGAACCGGAGGAAGCCCTGGAGACAGCAGTGGAGAAACTTACTGTAGACAGAGCTGAATTTCCATATCTACTGATCTATTGGAGCTGGACTGTGAAAAGTTAATTTCCAACTCTAATAAATAAAATATAAAGAAGGCTTTTGGCTGTCCAAAGAGGGCTCAGTATTTCACACTGATTAACATAATGCATAATTAAAGCACTGACTAGGATTGCCAGCTCTGTTTACAATGCCAAACATTAGTGAACAGCCTCCTTTTCACATCTGCACGACTTTCAAAATGGAGCAAGATGAAATCTGCAATGGCATCGATCAAAGACAGAATTTTCTTTACAAACTCAGCTGCAATTTCTGTTTGCCTGAAATTAGGATGCAAATAGTTAACACATCACTTATTGAGAATTCCCCCACAGAATGATGACATTTCAAATGAGCACTTGCTATTACAGTCCTCCCTGAGGGTGCGTGCCACTGATTCATTTGCAAATAATTGGGGTTGGCTCAATACCCACATTCCCATCTGAATTCTAAGTACCATACCTATTCCATGGAAAAGACTCGTGGTTTGCTTAGATCACTCTTCTGTATGGAAACTGCTGTGCAAACCTAGATCACAACGTAAGGGTTCAAAAAATCCACAGTCTTTTGGATGAAATCAGAAAGAACCCAGAGGGGCTTTCGCCCTCTCCAGGTTACAAGTCAAAGGGTATATTTTGTCCTTGAGCTCCCTGTTACCACAAGCAAAAAGAAAATCCAGGCAACCAAGGAGGCCTTCAGATCAAGTATCTAAGCGTGACAGATGCACAAGGACAAATATGATATCACGTCAAGCAGAGATACTTGCAATTCACCTTCTTGCATTCTTGCCCCTTCCAAGTAGTAGATAAATATGTATGTTTTATAATTGTGACCAGCAAACTGGCTGAGCACTGGAGGCTGATAGATAAAACCGTGAAACCCATTTGTTGTGCTCCTAATATTAAGGAAATAATAACTTCTGTATTTGTTTTATTCATTCTCTTTTGTTGTAAGGAAAGACAGACAAAATCCCACCCCTCTCTCACCAAACAATGGAAAACATTAAAAATTCAGAAAATAATGTCACTTCATGCAATTCTAAGTCAGACACATTGCTTTTCTTCACTGTGCATAGTATTTCCTATTTACCCTTTGTTTATTAAACTTAAATCCTTGGTCATCACTGTGTGTCCCTGAAGCATACCCCATATGCATCACTGTCTATATAAAGTTGCTAGAATAAACTTGCTTTGTGAAAACATGCGACTTAAGTGCTGGATCTTACTGCTCCCAAGCCTAAGCGTGGGCAGGAGATGAAAAACACCAGGAGAGCAGCCCCAGACATACACATCCCTGCAGGGCATGGAGCCGGGAAGAGGGACTGCGAGCTGCTCTGCTGGGACAGCTGCTTGGAAACCTCATCAGCCAGTATGGAAACTCACCAGGGGTGTCTGCCCAGCAGTACTGAACTTCTACCCTGCATTAGCTGGCTCAGGGGATTTTTGTGACTCCAGAATAACCTTAAGAATCTTCTGATCTCTACTCTTTGAAAGCCTTTTTTTCTCACATTTTCTCAAGAAGAAAAAAAAATACTACAAGTCTGTCCCCAGGCACTGTAGACTATTTTAAAAGTACATGTTCTGCTTTAGCTTACCCTAATCAACTGATCTAATTATATCCAATAATTAGTCTGGAGCACCATGAAAACCCTGGAAAGAAATTACCCCAGTGGACAACCTGAAAATCATTGTTTTAAATGCTTCCTTTTGCTGTTAGCTATCAACTCATTAAAGCGCAGGGCAGAAAAATGATAGCACTCTGCCAGTGCACAGACCTGTGCTGCTACCTGAAAATGGTGGCTGTGTTTATGGTTCTTATGCACAATTTGCAATGGCACTGGCATCCATGAAATTAGTAAGATGTTGTCTTTTTGAATCTGCAAATTTTATTAATTTTATCTATAATGGAAAATTAAACCTGTTGTATATAATTACAGTAGAGAGAATAAATAACATTGGTTTCCAAGCCTTTGTTTAAAGAAAGATAATATTTAATTTGAAATTCAAGACAGAAATGATAATATTGACATAGAAAAGATCACATTGCATGAAATGTTTTCTCTCCATTTCCTGCAGCTTAAGCAGAGCCAATAAAGGAAGTTAAATCTTCACACTCCAGTAGATGAGGCACAGATTTATTTCTTACAAAGTAATTCTTTCTAATAGATTAGCTGGTGACATTTTTCTTTGTGTCAAGTTTTGATGTTTTTTTAAAGTTTACAGCATATATTAGGGAAGAAACAGAAGTCAGTAGAGATCAAGAAATTCTAGGGAGCACAAGACCATTCACAGTTCCTTGGTTTTCTTTAAACGTGGTTTCTTTCCTCATTAAAATAAATCCTTCTGTGTGTATATTAGAAAAACCTTCTCTGAGAGAACAATGTAGTCAGGATTTCCAGGAGGGGATTTCTGCACTGACTCTCCATTAGTGTCTGCTGCAGCCATTTTATTTGTGGAAAGGAAGGATATGTCCTTTGGAGCGATGCTGAGCCTTCTAGTTCACTTTAACACAGCAGCTGTAGAACAAACCATTTCACAAAATGGAGCTAGAAGTGAGCTCACAGCTTGCTGAAATGTCTCCAATATAGATATTCTTAGGTTGCCTGGAAAAGGAGTGGTCAGTTTGCAGGATATAGGTGTGCAGCTGAATAACCACCTATTCCTACCATCCTCCACGAGGCAGCAGGAGCATTTCAAAATTGCAATTCAGTAATAAATGAAATAACTGAAAAGAATTACAGATCAAAAGACTGAAGACTTAGTCTATGTCACCTACCAGTGCAGAACCTCCTGAGCTCTATAAGGGTGTTACGCTAACCAAGCACTTTTTGTTCCCTTTCATAACCTGCAGAATGACAGTTTGCAGAGCACACATGGTTAACACGTTGCCTCTCTGTCACTCTACTGCTGGCAGTGTGAAGGTTGTCACTGCAGTAACAAAGGCTCCAGCCGCATTGTGGGTGCTGCCACTGCTGGACTGAGCTCTGCCACTTAGGCAGGAGACCTCCAGTAGCCTGGATTGGCCATCACCATTTGTCAAGCACACAGAGAGTGTCTATGAAGAGTGATACATCACCAGGGGGGTTAACTGAACTGTCTTCTTCACCTTTCTGAGAAATGCCTTTATTAAAGGTTCCTATTTTTAGCTTGACAGAGCCAGGTCAGGCTGACAGATAAATGGTCAGATGCTGTAGCTGGTGATTATTCAGAACAGTGATTTATGTACGTACTCCTGCCCTCCGATTTTCCATCTCTTCCTTATGTTGTGGAATGAGCAAAGACCTCTGCTTAAATGGCTAGCAGAGATCTGGCAAAGGTTATTTGG